GGATCAGGGAACACAGTCCTCTCAGAAGAAAAAACCTTAGGCTGCTATGAAAGTCCAGAAGAGGATGGAGGTTGCAAAGGTGGGAGGAGGAGGAGGGAGGGCAGGGGTGGGAGAGCTGGCGGCTGTGGGGACCAGAACCATGGATGGGGATAGGACATTGGAAGGGTCCCTCAAAAGATGGAAGAAATGGATGGTGAGTAATGTGTAGAAGGTGAGCCTGGGGATGCGGGTAGGAGTGGGGAGAAAACAGGTAAGTATAGGGGACGTTGGAAGTGGACGCTCACATTTTTAGGATAGCAGATCTCTTGCCCAACATCATCCTGAGAAAGTCAGAGTAGCTGAAAGTCTCCCCAGAGCCACTGGAAACTTCCCTGATTAATTTCTTTAGCTCCAGGTGGGTTTTGGGGACCCCAAGTTTCTCCAGCATTTGCTTCAGGGACATGATATCTAGAGGCAGAAGGTGAGGTGAGAAGAGAGGAGCCTCTCCCTCTCCCTCTCCCTCTCTGCCTCCTCCACTTCCATATTCCCACTCCCTTCCTCCTACTCTGGGAGCTGGGCCCTTTCTCAAAGCTTCAGTGATGGAGCAGTATAGGAGAGACCTCCCTCTTCCTAGATCTGCACACTCCCCCAAATCACCCTTTCTCACCAATATCTCCGTCTCCATTCAGGTCAAACTCCATGTATTTCTCTGGGTGAAGGGAGAAAGCAGGGAGGGTAAGCTCTGGCTGGAGGGGCAGGGTGGGGCACTGGGAGAGGGGTTGCTACTGAATGCTAGCTAGGTTTGGGGGAGAAGGTGTGGAAGGAGGAGGTGGGACAGGCAGAGGAAGTGGGGGTTCGGCAGTTGTAGGACCTTGTTAAGGTATCTTGAACTAGAGGGGTGCTGAGAGGGGCTGGCCGGGGAAAGAGACTGCAACCAGGGGGCAACAGAGGCAGCCTTCCTTCTTCTCATCACAAAGGTAGATTTGTGTCTCTGCTGCCCCCTCTCTGTTCTTGGGAAAACCCTCCCCCTCACCTCCCATCCACCCCTACAGTTTTCCACTCACTCTTGAAGGCTTCCAGTTTGGAGGGCAGATCCTCATCACTGCTGAATTTGGGATCATCCAGGAATTGCTGTGGGGGGAAAGCCAGAGCCAGGGTAGGTCCTCAGGGGCCAGGGCCCGTCCCTCCTGCCCTGCCCCCTTAGTTTTTCCTTTTACCTTGTTGATTTCATCCAGTCTCTCTTCCTGCTTGGCCTTCAGCAGCCCAAAGGCTTTTCCTCCTGAGGGGGCACAAAGGTAATGTGTGCTTACACTCCTTCTTCTCCTCACCCCCACACCAGCCTGGGGCCATCACAGTTCTGCCCTCCTAGCCCCTGGCTCAGGTCTGTCTCTTCTTGTCCCTCTTCCAGGCCTCTGCCTATTCCCTCTTCTCTACCCTGTAAATCCTGGCTTTGGCTCATGGCTCAGCAGGTGCCCGTGGAGGTGCAGGTGGGGACAGACAAGCTGGCTGTCTCTCTGTCTCTGTCTCTGCTCTCCCACAGCCTCCTTGGAGGCCTCCCTCCTAAACTTCCCCTTTCCCCTCATTAGCCCTCCTCTCCTTCCAGGCCTCACTTCCCCATCAGTTTCTGCTGACACTGGCACCCCAGGAAGAAGGGGGAGCTGGGTTTAGAATGGAGATGAGAAAAAGGACATTCTCCCAAATTCCTCTTTTGGAGAGCCCTGTGTGTGCACAAAAGAAATATTTTGATAAGGACGTGTGGGGGAAGGGCAATAAGACCCCAGGTGCCTTTATCCTCAGGAACAAAGGATCTTTGAACAGGTCCAGAGGTTCAGGTAACTCGAAAGCCTTGCATTTTGTCAGGTTTCAATGAATCTGGGCACACAGGTTGGGATAGGGAGCTGAGGAAGGGCTGACTGGATTTTTCTGCGCTGTGGATGGGAAAAGAATGTGAAGTCCAGGAGGGAAGCAAGATGGGTGCAGCGTCTGGAAAGGGAGAGAAACTTCATTCCCAGTTCAGCAGCCCCAGAGAGGCACTTGGAAACATGGAAATGTCTAACGAAGGCATTTTAATTTGTTTGCTTTAGGATGTGCAATGTAACCCCCTCATCCTATCCCCTTTGAAACCTTTAGTAAAATCTAGAGAGCTCAGGACCTCAAGAATTTAAGCAGATTCTTTGGAGGAACTGAAAGTGATGCTGAGAGAGAGCATTTATGGACACAGAGCCAGGGGTGAGGCTGACATTAAGCTTGCTTGTGTGTGTGTGTGTGTGTGTGTGTGTGTGTGTGTGTGTGTGTGTGTGCGCGCGTGCGCGCTCAGCTGCTGGTCACTGTGGATTCAACAGAGCAGGAGAGCAGCCCTGATAAATGCCCTCCCTAGGCAAACCCTTCATCCTGTTTGCTGTCTAGTCACTTCTAGGGGAGGTGAGGATAGCACATCCCCCTCACTGAAACCCTTTTGTCCAAACTCCCGGCCCAGAGCGCCATCCACCCTGCCCCAGCATTGATGGAGACACCTTCCTTCTCCTCTCCCCTCAGCCTATTTCCCCTTCTGCAGCGGGAAGTTTTCACTTCTCACTGTCCTCTCCCTGACCCGTGCAGGTGGGGGATGATGCTGGAAAGGACTTTGACTTCTTGACTTCCCTTTATTGAGGCTGCCTCTCCCCTTGCAGAAAAAGCTGCAAGCCTTCACTCCCAATTGTCTCAGTACCTGGCGGGGAGAATGCATTTATTTTTTATTAGTTTCAGGTGTACAAATCAATATACTAATTATACATTTACACTTCTCAGAAAGTGATAACCCACCCCCCAAGCTACTACCCCTCTGACATCGTATATAGCTGTTACAATTCCATTGACTGTTTCCCTATGCTGTACCCCACATCCCGTAATAATAATAATAATAATAATAATAATAATAATAATATATATGAATTCATTTCTTTATTCATTAATTCAACAACTATTTCCTGAATACTTACTATATGCCAGGCATGTCTAAGCCCAGTGTACCAATCAAATGTCAACTCTTGTTCTCAGGGACAGTCTAATTGGGGAAGAGAGACAATAAAAATAAACAAGTATACTAAAGGTGGTAGGTGCCTATGGAGAAAAACAAAGTAAGGAAGCAGGCAGGAAGTGCTGTGGTGGACTGCAGTTGTTGTTTTTTAAATTTTAATTACATTTTTAAAAACATTTTTTTATTGGGGAACAGCCATGGTCATTGGTTACACATTGCTTTCATGCTACAGTGGCATAGTTGACTTTTTTTTTTTTT